TTTTGTACTGTTGTTACACAGCACAAAACGCATAAAAATGACTGAAAGAAAAAGGAAACTCACAAAATCTTAGTCTAACAAGGCGCAGATATATCCTATGAGTTGTTCCCGTTGCACAAGGCGATGTGCCCCTAGGCCTTTTACATGGACAGGCTCCTGTCGAGGCTAGAAGAGATGAAACTGTCGATGCGACTACCTCAGTTGATTAATTTTACATTATTCAACGAAGTGGCGATAGAAGACCCTATGGTGTTGTTGCATTTTGATCCGCTGAACGGCTGTTCAGATATAAAGCGGCCAGTGACCCAACAATAGAAGATGTCCGACGATTATGCCAAAGTTTGCGACGTAACGCTAAGGACGATCGCATCTTGTTCCACTATAATGGCCACGGCGTACCGAAGCCTACTGCAAGCGGCGAAATATGGGTGTTCAACAAAAACTACACACAAGTATCTTATGTGTTTTTTGCATCTATGCAATGCAGAAACGCGTACTGTAGAGAGGTTGTCTGTATGCGCCCGTTTGTTTGCATGTATCTGTCCGCGTATATTTGAACCTCCAGGTCTAAGAAATCTATGAAGCTAAAATTTGACAACTTACTCTACCACAGTGGATGTGTTCTTAGATGTAAAATGAACGCTTACATCTCTCTAGTTGATTTTTTTTTTTTTTTGATATTTTAACCAATGCCATAGCTGACCCGCATTCCCGCGGTACAGTTGGCAGCATCTTCCGGATTCAGTTGACGTTTCCGTGTATTTTCACACTTAAGATAAATTCTGGCATGACTTTGCAGCTGTAGTATTATATTGGCAAAACTTAAAAGTTCTGTGCGCTACATTTATTCTGACGTAGGACTTTTCACCACGAATCTTCAAAGGGTTATGTCTGGCATAGGCAAATTGCAACACTTTCAACACCTTTTTGTCTCAGTAAACAAGCAGGAAAGAAAACATTTTGTGAGAATACCGGATTATCATGTACTACTTTAAAGCGTAAAATCGACTGTCACAGTTTGCCTACGTTTTGCTTGCGAATACAATAAACTAGAAAGGGCAATGTTGTGTAGCGAAAAACTGCGTAACATGCCAGCCAGTAATGACCGGAACGCTGATGAGAGAGACGGCCGCGTAGGACAACCTACTTTATTAATAATAAGACAATAACAACAGTAAAACATTCCTTATTAATAAAGATCACAAGTAGCTACCCGAAGTCGAAGGCTTGGCGCCTGCCTCCCTATAGATATAACTTCATACAGATATAAAAAGCTTGACTCTGGTTGCAAGGACAGGCACCTGGAGCCTCATAGGAATACAACAAAAAGGTCCAGCACAATACATTACTTCTCATTACCTTTTGCTTCACAGTTCACTTTACAATTTTCTTGTATCTTTAATTTCGTGAATCATATTTTCAGCTACATTAATTTGTTACCTACTAATTTTTATGCGTTTTTTGCATCTATGCAATGCAAAAACGCATATTGTCGAGGGGTTGTCTGT